ACAGCATTGTTATTACTTTGTAGACGGTTAGGTATTTGAAAGTCTGGTCGGCGCGGTAGATCTTCAGCACATGTTCTGGGCACTGGGCCCGAACCGGTTGATAATACTGGCTGATCGAGCCGAAAATATGACCTCCGTTGGTGATGTCCGGGTTCGAACGGCTGTGTTTCAGCGGCCCGGTCATTCTCATCTGGCGAGCAATAAGATCGGCCTGGAAATCACACTCCACTTGATCAGCGTCGTAGTTCAGGGTGCCATAACTAAAACGAAAAACAAAATTGCAAACAATCAAGAGAGAAAAAAACAAAACGTGACGCGCTTTACCTGCTGCCATTTCTGAACTTCTTGATCAAGCGCGCCAGACGGCTCTTCTCCTTGCCGTTGGTTTCCAGAGCTGACTTCAGTGTACCAGAGAACGAAACCGAGTCGGCTTGGGACAACTTCGAAGAGCACTGGCTTTTCAGGGAATGCGAATAGCAGGCGGTTGCCTCGTGGGGTACCAGCGCGTTCCGACGACCGTCCCCACCTCTATGCATACCATCAACGTAATGGTGACCTCGTCGGTACAGAAAACTGCTGTCGGACATGTGGCCGCGTGGCAACGGCAATGCCAGGTCCGTGTGATCTTCGCTGAGCATCTCTTTGAAGCCCAGCAAATTCGATTTGACCGTAAACGAAAGATGCGTGGTCGAGCGCAGGATTTCGAGCGCCTTCTGACGCGTAATCCGACGGAAATCGTTGCCGTTCACTTCCAAAACCTGAAGAGACAAAATGATCGATTAAACGAGTTTTAAAAACGCAACGGCCATAAAGTTGTCGCCCAGCTTATAACGACGGAGTATCAGAACTTCTGTGTCAGATACAGATTCCAGTAACACAGAAAAGAAACTTGAATTTTATTTCTAAGAACGTATTTCAGAAAACAGGATCTTGAAACATTAACGTCTACCTAGGAGTTGGACCAAGAAAGTTATCTTTATAGAGTAACCGAAAGAATACCGTCTGATAAGACAAACCGAGTGATTTATAAGATACCATTTCACGGATCTCACATTCATAGAGATAAAAGTGTCAGGCTAATGTTTATGCTGTTGGATATTTAGAAATGTTTTCTAAAGATCGGAAGAGCTCAGACGGTAGAGCTTCAGTCGGGTCATCCCTTCCTTTTCTCGTCAGATACGTAAATACCATTTTGCGAAATAGAAACAACGTGATACTTGCTACGCAGCTCTAGATTTTGCCTCAAAAAGGAAGGCACTCCTGGTTGATGGCACAGATACGGAGATCAGCGCTGCACCACAGCTTCACGAAATGAAGGGAGCCGTTCATGGCCTTTCTTCCAATCATGAAAGTGCATGGCTTTGTGACATTCCAACAGCTACAAACTTTTCCCTTATTTTTAGAGGCTAAAGTTTTTATTCTATATCGACCGCGTATTCAACGCTTAAATCACACAAAATAAACAAGAGCGAAATAAAATATCAGATACTTCTGACAGCGCAACAAAGAAAGACAAAGTTTCTGGCTGTGTCAAATTTGTGCTGCTCTGCTCTATACTGTTTTGTATTGCCTACTACTTACACAATGTACTTCTAGTACTGCACACTGTTGGCATAGTGATTTATCGACTAACACTGCAAAGTCCATGTCAGCTATGACATGTAACCAACTTTGCACTATCACATGTCAAGGTTATTACGCTTGTGATCAAAATCTGAAGATGAACAGGTCTGATTGAAATACTGCACTGTTTACTCTGCAGTTAAGGAATAAACAGAGTAAAAGCGTATCTCCGACATTCTTGTTTATACACTGATTCGGCACAGACAGAAAAACTGCTTATCATTTGGAAATGTCTTCTGTTGCTGACGGCTACCCTGCACCATCTTAGTCTCGGGTCTTTCCAACCACTGATATAAAGCATCAGCTCCCCATTCATCGTGTCCTCCAATTTAACCAGAGACACGACGCATGAAACTACGCCACTAACACAGTGACGAAAGACGATATCAAAACTGAGACTCGAGGAACAGTGGTAAGCAATGACACCTTACAGCCGCCAATAATAAAGACTTTATCTTCAAGCCGATAACAAAATTCCTGGCATACACTTGGCTCACCACGAACGACTGAGATCAAACCGGATTCGAACAGAACAGCAGCGCTGTGAACAGCTCATTTACCGTTGACAAAACAAAGTCTTGCTTGCAGTTTGACTGCGGTATGAATATCAGACTATCATCTTCATCGGCCTCTGTAGATCCACTGCTGTAAAAACGTGTGTCGAAGAATTTGCCATTGACTTCTGCTTCCATTCATCTTGATCCGGAGAACTTCCTCAGCTCATCCTGCCATCGATCTGGAGGTCATCCTACGATCCATTCGCTCTCTATTCTAACCCAGTTCTAGGCGTCTCTTGTCAGTTCAAGACTTGTAAAGTGTCCAGCCTGTTGCCGCTTCAACTCCCTCACTGGGGCATTCACATCATAGACTACCGTTGAAGATCAGCAATGCAACACATTATCTCAAAATGTCCCCTGCTAAAGTCCAACGACAGCATAACTGATGTCCAGAATACTACCGCGGCGGCCATCCACTGACTCAGAAATCTGGACAGATACAAAGTTGCCAGACTACCTCGCAACATAGATTTATGACAGAAGATGGCCAAAATTATTCACAACAAAACGAACTGGAATCAATCACCTTGAAGATATTCATGGGCGACTATGCATTAAAGGAGTAGATTCAAAATTGTTCATGCAAATTTCTGAGAACTAGCACTGACAGGAAAGGTCATGTATTGCCTGAACTAAAACGCAACAAAACTGCCATGTGCAATGCATCGTAATCTGACAGGAAGAAATTAAGCCATATCACTACAGCACCCCCTGCCGTTACCGAAAGCCAACTCACTCATGGAAAACCATGCTTCGTCAGGGTTCATGTACTTCAGTACGAAAACATTATCACCTCAACTGTCTCCTACCTGATCACCGCGCTTCAAACCGGCCTTTTCGCCAGGCGAGTTCGCCTCGACCTTCGCCACGAAGATTCCGTAGCCCTTCTCATAGCCGCCAAGGATCGAAAAATGCAGCATCTCCTCGCGATTGGAACGGGTATAAACGATAGTCCTCACCCTCGATTTGACGCTACAGGCGATGTTGAGCAACTGCTGGTGATTGTACATCGCCTAAAAAAGTGTTTCTCTCTTGTCAAACGAAACATGTCATCAGCGTAGGACAAAATAGGCAAAAAATCGATAAGAACGAACTCAAAATATGGGTATATAAAGTATTTCTAACCTCGTCTTCTAACGCATTTTCAAACTTTTCCAACAGTTTCATCATTTTTGGCTCATACTCGAAATCGTTGAAGTGATTATTTACCCACAACAGAATGATCCTGGCAACCTGGAAAAAGACCAATAAAACAGCGTCTTAATTTCGCGTCCGCATGAACAGAAATGCACCTTTTCCCTGAGAGATATGTCAGAAAACCACGACAAAAGTTTCATAAAAATTTCTTC